TTGCTTAGATATTCTAGATGTTAGGGTTGTGATAATTGCTTGAATGTCCATATGTATATGTACAAGGGCCTATGTATTGATTTTTTAAAATGGTTAATGGGTGGAGACTGGGTCTGATTATGGTGTTTAGGCAGTGAGCCAGTGAGAGGTGACTCCTGGGAGAGGATTGGTACGCAATTAAATTGGCCTACCTGTTCTTTGCTTCCTGTCTTCTTCCCTGTACTCAGACCTGTTGGCATGTTCCATCATACATTGCCTTCAGTAGACTCCGGGCTGGTGGGATTGCCCCATCTTAGGCTGTGAGCCTTAGAAATTGTGAGCCAAAATAAGCTTCCCTTCTTCTTAAGTAGCTTCCTTTAAGTATTTTAATGAGAAGCCGAGTTACATACCAGATATTGTTATCATTTCTAAGTGACTAAAGTTCTGTCTCCTCCTTCCCAGTGTATTTTTTTTAGTTTATTTTCTTCCGGGATTTGTGACATCTAGTCCTTTCAAGAAAGTATTGAATGAGAATAATGACCATGAATCTCCCTAGTTTGGGTCTGTCTTTTCTTTTCTTTTTTTTTTTAAGATTTATTTATTTTTATTGGAAAGGCAGATACACAGAGAGGAGAGACAGAGAGGAAGATTTTCCATCCGATGATTCACTCCCCAAGCAGCTGCAACGGCTGGAGCTGAGCCAATCCGAAGCAGGGAGCCAAGAGCTCTTCCAGGTCTCCTACGTGGGTGCATGGTCCCAAAGCTTTGGGCCGTCTTCGACTGCTTTCCCAGGTCTCAAGCAGGGAGCTGGATGGGAAGTGGAGCTGCCGGGATTAGAACTGGCGCCCATATGGGATCCTGGCACATTCAAGGCAAGGACTTTTAGCCTCTAGGCCACAGTGCCAGGCCCTGTTTTGTCTTTAAAAGGGATTTTTTAATGCTTCATTGTCTTGTGGTTTGAGAAATTACTCCCCAAACCCTTGCCCTTCCAGAGGAGTAAATATATCTATTTAAAATTTTTCTCTACAAAGTTGATCTTAAACTCCCTGTTGTGCTCTCCCATTGTTTATTTTTAATTAAAAATATTTACTTAGTTGGAATGCAGAGTTAAACAGAGAGGGAAACGGAGAGGCAGAGAGAGAGCTTCCATCTGCTGGTTCACTCCCCAAATTGCTGCACCAGCTGGAGCTGCATCAGCCAGGCGGGAGGCCTGGAACTCCATCCAGGTCTCCCACATGGGTGTTCGGGGCCCAGGTGCTTGAATCACTTTGTACTGCTGGGAACTGAATCTGAAGTGGAGTAGGCAGGATTTGGATTGGAACTCACAGGGGATATAGGCCCTGTACCACAGTACCACCGTCTTGATTATATAAATAGTCTAAATTGAAAAGTATTTCCTATATTCTTTTCCATACAGCAACTTGAAGACACAGAGTTTAAATAATAAGAGAAAATGTGTACATTGAAATCTTTAACTTCTGCCTATTGTTAAACTTCAGCATTATTTGGTAACTTTGGTAGGTGGTGGAAAGTTTTGTTAGAATGCGAATATGTTCATTGTACATAGGCAAGTGTTCCATTGGTGGGAGAAAACCAGCCAATAGCTGGTGGGCATCCTGGGCCTGGTTAATGGCCAAATATATGTTAATTGTACCAGTATGCCACATAGTTGCTTATTCTTGTTTTCTAAGTGGCTGAGTGGACCACTGCAGGTAAACAAGGAGGCTGAAACGGGGTGGTTTGGACGAAGGAAACCGAAGGAGCTTTCTGGGTCAGACCAATGCACCCACTCATGTGGGAGACCTGAGCTGCGCTAGTTAGCATCAACCACTGTCCACCAGAGCACTGTCCACCAGAGCCTGGCAGGGCTGGATCATAATACCTGCCAGTGAGTCTTAGGGAAGGGGATAGACCAGGTTAGGCTGGACATGACACTAATTGGCACGTGAAAGAACTGGTCTGGGACAGAATCTGGGGGATTTGTGGACTCCCCCTGTGGGACTGCAGTACCTCCTGGTTTGTTTGAGAGCTGGGAGTGGTGATAGACTGAACTAAATGTGACCGTGGAAACCACCAACATTCATGGGAACTGGAGTTGGGAGCAGGCCAGGCTGGTCCAGGCTGCAGCACCTGTGGGTACACCCAAGAATTGGGTGTGGGGTGGGATGGGCTGCAACATCCACCAGTACACACAAGGGCCGACACTGAGGAGTGGACCTTGTTGGCTAGGGGACTGTATGTGCTGGCACGTGTGATATCTGGGTCTAGGAGTGGGCCTGGTGAGGGAACTTGGGGAACTCCTCTACTGGGCTGTAGATCCTGTTGGTGAGCACGAGAGTCAGGGTTGGATGTTACCCAGGCCAGGGGTCTGTTCCACCTGTCAGCAGATTTGTGCACCTGCTTTGAGAGCAGCCTGAGCAGAGCCAGGCCACACCATAACATACTGGCATGGGCAGGAGCCAGGATGGGTTGTGGGCCATGCTGGACTAGGTATAACTACCAATTTGCATGAAAATCAGGGATGGGGACAGGCTGGGCAAGGCTAGGCTATAGCACCCACCAGTGAGAGTTGGAACCTAGGGTGGGTCAGGCCAGGTTGCAGCATCCAATGGCAAGGGCCAAGATGGAGGGTAGGTCATGCCAGGCTGGGTCAGAGCAACCATCAGTACATGCAATATCTGTGACTGGGAGTGGGTGTGGTAGAGGAGCTAAGGGGACACTCCTGCTGGACTGTGGTTCCTGCTGGTGAGTGCAAGGGCCAGGAGTTTCGGCACCAGTTGTCGTGCCCACGTTTCTTATCGTCCGGCGATAAGAGGCAGACGCGAGTGAAGTCTTCTGCGGTAATCTTTATTGCGCGCACCAAGATGAGGAGGAAAGGCTCCGACCCCGGCAGGCTGTCTGCTCTTATGTGCTGACTGGCCCCGCCTCCGCTGATGATAGGTCGGCGTCATGATTACGCAGGGTCCTGGGCGACTGGATTCATCAGTCCCAGTGTTCATGCGCCGGCCACGCCTCAGCTCACTGCGCAGTACCGCGAAAGCTACGTAACTCTCCACCAGGAACCAAGGTGTGGCTTTTCCGGCCGGCGCCATTTTGGGTACGGCATGTGGCCAGTACATACAGATGCGGCTGGCAACAAATGATATCTGTTTACTGGTTCATTCCCTAAGTGCCTGCAGTGGCTAGGCTGAAACCAATAACCCAGAAACTCTGTCAGGGTTTCCCTGTGTGGCTGTCATGGACTCAGGTGCTTGGGCCTGCAGCTGCTGTCATCCCCAAATGCGATGGCAGGAAGGTGGATGAGAAACAAAGGAAGGGCTCACGAGTATTTCAGCATGGGTTGTGAGCATCCCTAATGGAGGCATAATTGCTGCCCACTCCTGGTTTATATACTTTATTGTCTTGAATATTCTGAATAGTGGTCAATTTGAGTATGATCTGGGAGGAGATCAAGTGAGCAAGCCAGAGCGAATGCTGTTGTCCACTGGTCCACCCTCAGCAAGTGCCTACAGAGCTGGGAACTAAATCTAGCTTTCCCTCATGGGTGATGGGTCCCAACTGCTTGATTCATCATGGCTGCCACCCTGTAGCCACATTAACAGGCAGCTGTGAAGTCAAGAGTCAGGGATTGAACCCAAACTGCAGTGTGGGTTGGGCACATCCTAATAGCACCGTTACCACTAAGTTAACTCTTAACATCCTTGGCTCTGAGTCAGTTTTTAATGTCCTTTCTTGGTCTGTGGCTTTGGAGGGGAAACTTGTGAGTTCATTTAGCTGTTTCTGTTTCCCAGCTGTGTAGCCTGTGGAGCTTGGGAGAGCTTCAGAAGCATGCTGTCTCACAGGACCCAGGGAAGATGTTCAGGGGTGAACAGAAAGGTGTGATCTAACGAGAGCTAATTTGAACTTGGTTTTTCAAAACCTTACCCATTGATTGTATATTGAAATGGTAAAGTTAGCATATGGTAAGATAGATTGAAGTCATAAAATTAATTTATCGGAGTTTGGAACTAGTACTGCAGTGAAAAATTTAGCATTAAGCATCTTGAAATAATTTGTAAAATTAAAAATTACTTTCAACACTGGTAGGAAATATTTTTATTCATCATGCATTCCTACCCAATGATGGCTTACTATTAGTTAGAGTTGTCCTTAGTAAGAAAGGAAGAGCTGAGGAGTTTTTTCAGTTTACTTACTGCTTTTCAACTCCTCATTTCCAGCAGATGGTAGGAGGTTTTTTTTTTTTTTTTTTTCACTCTCCCCCTTTTATATTTAGGAGATTAGCAAGTGCTTTTGGAACAGATAGTAGTATTTTGGCATTTGTTTTAGTTAAGACTTTTGGAATCTCTCACCCAGAGCGTCTTGACAGAAAATGGGCTCCTTCTGCAATGAGATGATAAAGAGCTGCTCCTGTCAGATGATTCTGGGGAGATGGCAGGAGCTGTTTCTAGACATATGCCATGACATTTAAGGAAATTATGTAATCATTTTCTGCCCTCCCTCTCCCAAAGTTCAGGAAGTTTGGGAAGTAAAAGTTCCTTCTGGAGAGTCAGCTCTGGGCTTGCACCTCTGGGCTTGCGTTTGCTCTCTCTTTGGCCTTGGGTAGCCCACTCACCTTCTCGGTGGCTCAGGTGTTTTCTTCTGCAACTTGTGGATCATACCTGTTCCCACAGAATTTTTGTGAAGATTAAAAGAATGTGAAAGCTCTTTTTAAGGTTACTAGTAATACACAAATGTAAAATTTTGTGCTAGGATATGTCCACTTATTTTTTTCCATTAGGAACAAATATAACCGCTTCTCGGCCTTTTGGCTAAGATCAAGTGTAGGAACAAATATATTTTAAGTTTTTATAACTTTGTTCTTTGAAATTAGTGGTTGGTTATCAGAGATCACAATTTTTTTTCAGTAATTTCTAGGAATGTTCTCAGGTTTGCTATTTTAGAACTTGGGAAACTTAGACATTAATGGAATATAGACAAGACTGTTGTCATCTAAATATGTGTTGATGACTTTGTGCTTTTAGGTATACCAAGCTTGGCTACGCAGGCAACACTGAGCCCCAGTTCATTATTCCTTCATGTAAGTAAAGCTTCACCCTTGCGTTTCTAAAGGGTTGTGTTTCTCACGATTGTTCTAAGCATTCTGTTTCTCAAGTGTATTAATTAATGCTTACCATCTTCCTTTAGAAGTTTGTTCTGCCTATTGGGAGATAGTATTTATTTTTACTCTGAGGGTAGATTTTATATATACCCACTCTACCACCCTCCCCTAACTTCTAACTCTAATTCCTTTCTTAAATAGCCGTTTATAGCTGACATTGAACTTTCAGCTTAGTTGGTTAATGAGGACTTTACTTTTGGTCCTACATATCTGAACAGATCTGTTTCCTTAAGACTAACTTATAATTTTAAAGTACAGTGCTATTGGATAAGCATTTTCATGGACTGAAATTGTGTTGTACTAGTTACTCTATGGGAAGAATTGTGTGTGTGTATAAATGACAGGGTTCAGAACTGTTTTTATTTTGTTCAGAAGTTTTCTGCTTTTGTTTAATTTCTAATCAGTAGGCTTTAAAATGGTGTGCTTGCGTTTTGGTGGAAACTAATCCTACTGTCCTCTGTTTCCCAGAGGCGTTTCCCCAAGGTGGATCAGCTTTTTTATATAGTGGAACTCTTCTCAGAAACTAAATGCTAGCTAATTATTTGGTATCAGTTTGACTAAGAGTAAGGTGTGTAAGAGTGAAGTGAGTGACTGCTGTGCCATGGTGAATTAAGATGCTACCTATGATGCTGCACTGGGTCAAGACCCGGAAGCTCCACTTCCCATCAGTCTCCCTGCTTGTGGCCTGGGAAAGCAGTGAAGGACGGCTCAAGTCCTTGGGAACTCTGGAAGAAGCTCCTGGCTTCAAATCGGCTCAGCTCCAGTTGTTGGGCAAATTGGGCAGTGAGCCAATGTATGGAATATCCTTTTTTCTCTGTCCTTTTGTTGTAAATCTGCCTTTCAAATAAAAATAAAATAAATATTTAAGAAGAAAGCCCAAAGGGAAGAAATTTGGTTAATATCTATTTAAAGGATGGCAGATGTCTTATCTAATAAGTGCTAGAAACTGTATTCCAGCTTCCTTGTCTTATCTCATTCTACTTTCTTGCTTCCTGGGTAACTGACCCTCAATTCCATTTTCTAAATCTAAACACTTTGATGCTCTGAATGAGTTGTTCTAATGACAGATGTGAGTGGTCTGCTGTGTATTCATTTGATATTCATAAATTAGAATATTTGTCTGCAGGGCTCTCAGAGCAGAACACATAGGATTGGCTGCATCACAGAAATTTATTTTATCTCCTTTTGTTTTTTTCAGGGCTATATATTTGTTTGAAAGGCAGAGTCACACACACACACACACACACACACACACAGGGCTGTAAAGAGAAAAGAGAGACACACGGAGAGGCCAGGGTCAAGAGCTAGGAACACATCAGAAGCACCAAGTGGCCGCGACTAGATCCCAGGGACTCATGAGAGATGGCAGTGCCCCGTGAGGTAGCTGAGCCCACCTACTGCACCACAGTCAGTGCCCCGGCGTTTCTGGAGGCTTGAAGTCAGAATTCAAGGTGCCGGGAGAGTTTCTGGGTGAGTTTGCAGTGGGCCACGGCCTGGTCCTGCTCGCATGGCTTCTCCGTAAGGGCGCGGTGGGATGAGGGAGAGGACTGTTCATTTCTTCCTCCTCTTTCAGGGCCACCACTATCAAACTAGGACCCCCCCCCCCCATGATCCCGTGTAACCTTAACTACCTCCCTAAACATCCTATCTCCAAATGCAGTCACTTTAGGGGTTAGAATTTCAACATAGGAATTTTGTGGGAATGTGATCTAGGCCATAACATTTGGCATTCTGTAGGATGAATCAAGTCTTTTGTAAATCTATTAATGTGAGCACCCTAGAACTTGATCGTTTCATGTTGAGTTGATAAATTAGACCTTCTGCCTTTCAGACCTGAAGATCAGAATCTAACCTTCTGAAGTGTAACAATTAGAAATGACTGACCTTGCACCTTTTGCTTTAACATGCTGGCATTTATAACTGTCAGTGGCATTTAGTTCGGTGCCTGTTGAACCTGTCATCACCGATAGAGAGGGGTGTTAAATATAGTTATTAGCAGGATTTCGTTCACTGTCAGAAGGAAGGAAAACTCACAGTGGCACTGTCAGAACCTTAGCAATCATGGAAGCTGAAAAGATGATGAAAACGTCAGAGCGGTGGGAGTAAAGAGTTACACTGCTCACTGAATTTGGTGCACAGTTTGTGAGGCTCCCGGAAGTAAGGCTTACCTGGAGGTAATGCTAGAAGGTGTTTGGGCAGAAGTGAAGGCATTGGGATAGAGTGTCTTGGTTTCCTTTGGGTAACCTACTACTTTTCTTGGCACTGGAAATAAGAGTGTTTTTCTGGTTTTGGAAAACCCAGCACAAGACAAAGTTACGGACATAGAAGCTGAAGTTGCAGATCCAAAGCCAGGGACCAGGAGCTTCTTTCTGGTCTCCCATGTGAGTGCAGGGTCCCCAGGCTTTTGGGTCATCCTCCAGTGGCTTCCCAAGCCAGTAACAAAGAGCTGGATCAAAAGAAGAGCTTTCAGGGCTTGAACTGGTATCCATATGGGATGCTGATGCCAAAGGCAGAGTGTTAGTTTGCCATGTCACAGTGCTGGACCCAAGGTTATATACTTACGTTTTCAGAATAAAAAAAAAAAATGAGACGCAGAGAGGGAGAGACAAGAGAGATATCAGGTAGCTGGAATTTGCATTTGGTGATTTACTTTTTAGATGCTAGCAATGACTAGGATGAAGCCAGGTCGCTCCGAGGCCAGGACCTAGGAATACTATCTAGGTATCCTGCATGGGTGACCGGTACCCATTTCCTTGAGCCATCATTCCCATCTCCCAGGGTCTGCATTGTTGGAAATCTGTAGTTAGGAGTCAAAGCATTCCCTCATCTTAGCTGCTCGTTAAATACTGCTCCTTTCTATAAGACAATGTAACTTCTGCTTTTGCAGAATGGGAATGTTCAACAATTTCTAAGGGCCTCTTAGAGGGACCTGGCTCTTGGAACTAGAGAAGCACCAGGACCTATCCCAAGTTTTGCCTATGCCTGGGCTGTTGAGACTGAAGAATTTCTTTGATTGAAGAGTTTTTCCCACCTTTTTTGTTACTTATTTATTTAGATTAAACAAGTTAAATTGCTTAAAATAAATTAATTAATCAAATCAGATATGTTAAATTAAATTGGTTGGAGACTCTTGGGAGTCAGAGGAATGTATGGTGTGCTGACCGCATCAGTAGAAAAGGATGTATCAGAAAGGATCAGGACATTTGAGATAGGGGGCTCCGCTTCTGATCCAGCTGCCTACTAATGCTCCTGGGAAGGGAGCACATGGTCAGGTCTCTTGGTCCGTGCCATCCACATGGGACACTTGGGGAGTGTTCCTGGCTTTGGCCTTCAGTGAATCAGTGAGTTGGAGAGATCTGTCTCTCCCGCTCTTGTTCTGTCACTTTGCCTTTAAAATAACTAGATGAATAAAATTTAGGAAAAGTAATGTCTATTTTGGTACACATTATCTTAGAACTCATTCATAGTTCTTACGTAATCTACATTCCCCATAAACTTTTTGATGGCTCTCCCACCCATATTATACAGATTAATTCTGACTCAGCATCACTCCCTCAAGATCCGTCTCAGTTGTTGCATATATCAATATCATGTTCTGTTGCTTAGTGGTATTTATGCTATTGAGGGACATTTTGGTTGTTTCTGGCTTTTAGCCTTATAAATCTGCTATGAACAAGTTTGTGTAGGTTTCTGTGTAGACCTGTTTTTATGTTTCTGGGATAAGCATTGAGTAGTGCAGCTGTGGTTGTATGGCAAGCTATGTTAGTTCTTCAGAGAATTTTCCATTGTGGCTGGACAGTTTTGTATTCCCACAAATCTAGTTTTGCTGCATCCTTTCCAGCATTTAAGATTGTTATGTATATTTTTAATTCTAGCTGTTTAAGCAGTTATGTAGTCATTTTTTATCATGGTCTGTATTTTCGTTTCCCAGTGGCTAGTGATGCCAAACATTTTTTTATATGCTTATTTCCCATCTATATATCCTTTCTCATGAAATATCTTCTTATATCTTTTGTCATTTTATAATTTGATTGTTTATGTATTTACTGTCGAGTTCCAAAAATACTGTAAATGAGGATGAGGGCTGATCCTGTGGTGTCTTGTATTGCCAGCATCCCATACAGGTGCTGATTTGAGTCCTGGCTGCTCCACTTAGAATCCAGCGCCCTGCTAATGTGCCTCAGAATACAGTGGAGGATGGCCCAGTGCTCAGACTCCTGCGTTCACACAGGAGACTTGGCAGAAGCTCCTGCTTCCTGGCTTCAGAACAGTGCAGCTCCAGCCATTGTAGCCATTTGGGAAATTAATTGGCCAACAGATGATTTCTTTGTCTCTTTCTTTCTTTGTAACTCTGCCTTTCAAATAAATAAATCTTTTAAAAGGTTGCTTTAAAAATATACTAGATATGAACTTCTTTGTCTGATAGGTATTTTGTAATAACTCCTCTAAGTCTGTGGCTTGTTATTTTCTCTTCATTGGGTCTTTCTCCACCATGTATAAGATTTGTGTAAGATTTGATAAATCAGTTTTTCAAAAATATTTGAGAGTGAGAGAGAGTGAGTCAGTGAGATCTGTGAGCTGCTGGTTTACTCCCATATGGCCTCAGCAGTCAGGGCTGGGCCAGGCTGACCCCAGGAGCCAGCATCTTTATCCTGGGCCCCCATGTGATTGGCAGGAACCCAGGCACCTGGACCATCTTCCAGCGCTCTCCCAGGTGCATTAGCAGCGAGCTGGTTCAGAAGTAGAGAACAGCCAAGATGTGGGATGTTGGCTTCACAGGTAGTAGCTTAACCTACTGCGTCACAACACTGACCTACTATTCTTTTTCAGAAAAGTTTATTTTCATATGCTTGAGAGGCAAAGAAGGAGAGGGAAAAGAGAGATTAATATCTTCAGATCTTCCATCTACTGGTTCACTC